TATGTATGTATGTATGTATGTATGTATGTATGTATGTATGTATGTATGTATGTATGTATGTATGTATTAACTAGTAATATACGTAATCGTAGAGTGCGTGCGAGTTTTGGTAGGTTTGGTATGTTAGAAAGAGCAAAAAATTAAAAAAAAAAAAAAATTCCAGCAGGAGCAATAACTAATGAATTGATCGCAAAGCACGTGCATACTAGGGGGTCTGTTCTCGTTTATACATATATTACGTAATATTAGTTACGACCGGTCAGTAAAAAAAACACGGACTGCAATTGGTAGGCCGCATTTAGTCCGCACGCAGTCCGCGTTTTATACCTGAGTCTGTGTTTTATACCCAGTCCATAATGCTTAGTCCGCGTTTTATATCAAGTGATAAGGCGGGAAGGTGTTACATAGACCACGAGTAGTCCGTCTTTCGCTCAGTCCGTTTTACGCGACGCGAAGAAAACTGCGAGAAAAAAATAGCCCGCGAAATCCTGGGGGCGAGGGACCTACCGCCTAAGCCACAGAGTTTGACCTTTCACGGCGGAGTGATTTTTTGGTGTAGGATTGCTCATTCTGACGTCCTCTTACTATCGCCTGTTGTCAATAACCCCGGGAGATATCCTGAATAAAATCGCTCTACTCTACTCTTCAAGTAGCGAGGAAAAAACATGCCGTGAGAAGTATATCTTCGTTCGGTGTTCGTTCAGCGAAACTGCCAAAGAAGTTTAAAAAAAAGACGGCGAATGAGGCATCTTGTAACGATTTTTGCTGCGCCTGTCGGTGTAAATCTGAAAGTTATTGCGAAAATTTCAAATACAGAGTCTCAACCGAGAATTTACATTATGCATTTGATATAGGAGATCATCCAACTGCGGTGAAATGTTTGCGGATAGCAGCGGAAAATTTCAGGTGAATGTCCGGTTTCAAGTGAAAGTCCCGTTCAATCTTCCAAATGGGCGACAGAAAGTTCAGTGAATTCATATTCGCTGACTTGGACGATGCTGTAGAGCGGCGGAATCACTAACACGCTCGCACTCGGCTTGGAGGCGGAAAGCTTTGCCAAACAAAACACTTGATAAATTCAAATCTTTCCAAAGCCTGTTGGCAGATTCGCAAGAACATCATGGCTTGGGAAGCGCGATTCCAACGCTTCGATCGCGATTTGCTCCGGCTCCAAAACATTCTTACAAGACGTCACAACGTTTCTCGAATGTTGACAACGCGTTGACAACGCTCCTAACATAAGCCAATCATATTTTTGCGTTGTGAGAGCAACACATAATTCAAACTCCCTGGCTTAGGCGCTAGTCCCTCCTTCCGTGCGCTCCTCGCCCCCAGGATGTCACGGGGCCAGTTTTTTCTCGCAGTTTTTCGCGTCACGCACGACGGACTAAGCGAAAGAAGGACTACTGGTAGTCTAGGTGTTCCATGGTTGATATTACGCATGACTCTTGTATATTTTGTGATGAAAAGAATATCTACAAGGTTGTAATGATATTTTTTAATATGGTTAATTTGAAGCCGATTTATTGGGCAAAAGTTTTTTGTAAGTGACGAGTTTATGTAAAGTCTATGGCACGAATTGTTTTGTGTAAATCAATCTTGTCGTCGTAGGATGTTGAAACATGTATCGAAAGACTACCGACAAATGTATTGACCAGATCTAAATAAAATATGCTAATCGTCCTGGTACGTGAGCGTTTTCTGTTTCGCTTGTCA